AGAAGTACTGCCGAAGAGGGCTCAAGTCACGTACAGGCAGCACGGTCTGCCATAAAAATCCATCTTGTCTGCACCACGCCAAGCAGAAACAGGCCCTGATCAAGCAACGTCTCTGTTCACCTCAAGCTCATGAGAAAGACATGAGTAAGAGGGAGAGAGACAAAAGTCTCTTTAATAGACAGTACCCATGTGCCAGATGGAATGAATGCGAAAGGAGCACCAGAGCAGCGCCGAGATAAGCATCAGAGGGCTTTGAGATCGCGCCAACAGACGCCTATAATCAGCATCAAAGGAACTCAGTTCCTCATTCTCATCCATCCTAAACGCCTTCCCACCCAGCCTATTGCCATTTCCCTTGTCCAAAGGCAGGGAATCTGCAGCCTGAGTCACCGATGGGGCCCCAGGTCCCTGGCAGCAGCTTCCCTCCGAGCAGGCAGGGTGGCTGCAAACCCCACCATGCCATCAGCACCACCACAAACAGGAAGGACGGGAAGGTTTTACCCTACGGCTGTGGGAGATCCCAGCAGGACAGTGGGCCAGCAGCCCGTCAGAGATGGAAATGCAAGCCCAGCAGGTAGGATGCCCCCAGGCTATAGAGCTGCTCCGATAAATCCAGAGGCAACCTGTTCCTGTTTCAGGGGAGCTGTACCAGGGATGATTTCCCGAGGTGAGGCTGTGTAGGGCAAAGTTTGGTTCACAAAGATCTATCTTTGCTATTCAATGCTGAGCAGACACATGTCCTCTTGATGAACAGCCAAAGGACTTTGAATTTTGGTACTTACAGAGAGGAGGCCCAAACAGCACCGTGTCCAGAGCTTTCAGCTGCAGTTTCTGCCTGTGGCTTCGATCTGTCATTTTCAGAACACTTCCCATCATGGTAGCATTGTTCACTGCTAGCCTGAAAAAAAAAAAAAGATTTATTTAAAAAAAAGTAGGTATGGTCATATCTATCTGGATTAATAACTGACCAAAAATCAGTATCATGGAGACTACAGGAGGAGAAATTTAATGAGCAGGACCTGAAAGCTCCCTGCTTAGGCTATCAGGACAAAAGAAATCCCTCAAATATTGTAATCTCTGATACAGGATCTTTTTACAAAAGAGTTAAGCAGCAGTGTCTTTGGCTTTACTTGGAGAGAGAAAAGGAAAAACCAAGGCCACGCCTATTTCATTAATCCTAACAACCTAAGTTACTGATTTCCTATCAAAACAGACCTTTTGGTGTCCTACCAATCACTAATATACTTTTTAAATCAAACCTATATTGCTAGCCTTTGACATCTTATTTTATAGACCATAAGACTATACTTCTCGCTTGGAAGAAATGTGGGCACACCATGCACTGCCTCGAAAACGTTATTTTATTCCCAGTTAACCCCTCCTTCCCGGTCAGTTTACCAGTCCCTTTTTAGCGACAGTAACTTTTACCCAAAAAACTCCACTGAGTTTTTTCAAACCTGTCAGGAGCTTAGGCCAACCCACAGCCAGTGTTTCTCCTGAGGAACACAAGGCTTAGAAGTCTCCTTTGCTGGAGCATCAAGGGGCACGAATTAACACAGCACAAACCAGTGCCGGGTGGTGCAGAGATACCTAACCAGTAGCCCTTGAACTAGGAACTTAAACGCTACTTAGATACAACGCGGAAAGCAGAGATGCTCGTTTGCTGAGGAGGATGGACAATGACAGAGAAGCTCCACGACTGGGCTGGGGTTATGAAGGAAGGCTGTGGCAGAGCCAGGACACAGCCTAGGTGTGCTCTGATCCAGGCCAGGGTTTTAGCTCTAAATATGTAGCTTCAGGTGTAGGCAGGTGAAGTCTAGCATACAAACCAGCAAGGACAGTATTCACGACCACACAATTCCGACTGCAGCCTCTGCTTTCACCCACAGCAGACAGATGCTCGCTTAGGGCTAAATCACTCCCCACAGAGAGGACTACAGCAAAGCTGAAGCCTCTAAACATAACCAGAGCGGAACAGGAATTAGACTTGGCTCTGTACATGCCGAGGAATTGCACACGATGTTACGAGCCGCCTCAGATCTGTTTTTCTCCCTGGCACACATCCCAGAGGAACAGAAGACAATGCAGTGAGCACTGACCTGGGCATGGCATGTCCACTCAGCTGCAACTTTCTGAAGGTCTCTTCGTACTGTGGCAGCTCTACGTAGGTAATGAGCCACTGAACCACCTCGTCAACTGTCCAATTATACACTGTAGGAGAGGCAGAAAACAAGTAAGCAGCTTAATATTTTTACTAAGCAACTAAAATCATCAAGCCAGCAACAGCAGTGTAACTCCACCAGGCATACCTCATCCTATCACCTTCAGTAAAGGAAAAACACCTGCAAAGTTTAAACACGTTCCTACCAAGCATGCAGGCAGCTGGGGCTGGAGAACTATTAGACAAGAAATAATGCCCCTCGGATACCCCAGGCAATCCTGCATGTCCTCAGCCTCTGCCTGGCTGCTTGTGTGATTATTTTTGCTAGTCTTTTCTATATATGATGGGCTGCTATATGTTCAGCGTAGATGTGACGGGCTACTACAAGCTTAGCCTTAACAGACACCATCACACCGTGCATAAGGACGGGTGCTTTCCCAGCAGCAGCCTTTGACAACAAACATTTCACAGCGGTTGATTTTAGACCGTGCTTCTAGCTCACAAAAGAAAAACACGCAACGAGGCCACCAGATAAAAGAGCAGCCTCAGACAGTGCTGGCCCAGGCAATGTTTCACTGGCAGCCTTCTGCAGTGTCACCAGAAGGGCCAGAGGCCAAGATCCTTGGAGAGCCAACAGCCAAAGCGCTGGCAGATGGTAAGTGAAATCCCCTCGTTTTCTATCATCCAAGTGATGTCGCCGTCTCCAAACTCCCAACAAAGTATGTTCACCCTCACCACATGCTCAAACCCTGAAATACTGAATGCTCAAACCCTGAAATACTGAATTCAGCTAACGTACTAGGCAACATGCTCTGAAAGCGTCACCCCCCCGCCAGATCTGTGGACCATGTAAGTATCAATTAAAAAAAAGTGCTTATGGAGAAATGCTGTAACAAAATGGTTGTAAACAGCTTGAGAAAGTGCTCTGCAAGAGGAGGTGCAGCAGGTGCAGCAGCCCAAGTGAACAAGGTGAACTTTTTTCCTTAACTGCCTTACCTGTGGATTTGTGGATTATTTTTGGAGCTGACATACAGCTACAAAGCCACAAATAAGGAAACCTTTGGAAACAAAACTTCTGCCTTTGCCACTTAGTGTTGTTGTATTATACCAGTGGCAGGAAGGCAAAGAAAATCACAGAATCACAGATGGGTTTGGGTTGGAAGGGACCTTAAAGCCCATCCAGTTCCAACCCCCCTGCCCTGGGCAGGGACACCTCCCACCAGACCAGCTTGCTCACAGCCCCATCCAGCCTGGCCTTGAACACTTCCAGGGATGGGGCAGCCACAGCTTCTCTGGGCAACCTCTGCCACTGCCTCACCACCCTCACCGGGAAGGATTTCTTCCTTGTATCTCATCTAAACCTTCCCTCTTCCAGTTTAAAGCCCCTGCCCCATGTTCTGTCACTCCCTGCCCATGTCAAAAGTCCCTCCCCAGCTTTCTTGTCGGCCCTAAAATCACACCACAGATTTCTTTCCAGAGGACAGAGGGGCATTTGCTATGCTTTTAATTTATCGACTTCTGTCTTTGTTTAGCCTGGGCTGAGCTCTTGCGGCATTTACCCAGCCTCCAGCAACCCAGAGCACTGCGCTGGACATCACCCACTGCTGACGGTCGCCACCTCGCACGTTTCTGGCCCAACATCCATCGGTCCCTCTCTCGCACGCCCTTTCCAACGGCCGAGTGGAGAAAAGGCCCATCATTTACTGCTGGCTCTGAGGGCTGCATCGCTGCCGAGTTCAGAGCTGCGTGGCCACTTCCCAAATATCAACAATGAGTTGTCCCACAAATATGAGAAGCATCTTCCAGCCCACGCCAGCAAGCTAAACGCCTTCGATGGCAGGATGACTGACAGAGCAGAGAGAGCGAGGGTCAAACGCTGAGCAAAGGAGGGCAAGACTTGGAAAAAAGGTGTCACCTCCACGTACACTTGCAGGAGGACTCACAGACGCAGGCTGGCAAACGCAAAGCCAGCAACCTGCCCTTGCTTAAGGAAACTCCCTACAGTTGATGGTCACTCACCCAAAAACTGTGGGAAGCCAATTTCTGTGGCCACAAGCAAGATGTTAAAGCTGAAGCAGGCAGGGGAAGCCCAGTTCCCTGGATGGTGGCATCACCCGCGCCAAGGCGCAGCAGGACGGCAGTGCTGCAGGGCACGAGGCCAGACAGCCCGGCCTCCGCATGTGGCCGTCACAGACCACCGGGCACCCTCCAGCTGGGGGGCGAGTGGTGCCCACGGCGGGCAGGAGCCGATGTAAGCTCTGAAGAGCCCAGTGTGAAGTGCTGGGGGTGGCGAGCTGACCCCCGGAGGGCCCCATGGTGGTACGAGGGGTGCCTGCCGGCACAGGAGGAGCTGTGCCATCCACAGCTCCCCCCAGGCCACGGCCAGCAACACGGGGCTTGTCCCGCCAGGCCTCTCCATGTCCCCAGGCCAGGAGCTGCCTCTCAGCCTCGCGCAGAAGTCCTCACACAGCCTGGCGCTGCCCCGGGTTCCTCTGATGCCCCTGGCCTCTCTCTCTCTCTTTTTGGCCTTCCATATCCAGACGTCTTTATTTTGGGAAGAAATCGCTGAGAAACAGGCTGGCAGCGTCAGGCAGCACGCTCAAGTGCAAAGATGAGCGGCTCCCCAGCCCTGCATCCCTGCTGCGATGATGTGCTCTGCTACTTCAGTGGCTTTGGCTGAGCCACGCTAACCGAGGGCTTCATCTGTCACATCCAACACCTTGCAGCAGCATTACAACCTTCGTATTTTTGGGTAATTCGAGGGCAGAAACAACCTTTTAGTTTACACACGTGACCAGGAACAACAGCAACTAGGAAAAGTACTCCGTTTGAAAACAGATGAAACGGGCACAGCCCCCCAGCACCCGTCAGACCTCGGTGCCCTTTCAAAGCTGCTTTTCACACCCACATGAAGGAGCAGACCTTTTCTTTTACGACTCGAGTTCAAACGCCAAGATTAGGCTCCATGTGACACCATCCTTTAGAAACCAATAATTTATTTTATCAGCTTGATATACACAATGATGAGAAGGGAAAACAGGAGTGGTAACTAAATCCAACACAAGGAAAACCGTTAGACCACAGCAGCTCTACCCAAAGACGTGGCAGGTCCCGTGTGAGTCAGAAGCAGAGACAGCAAAAGCAGCTCAGCAATTAAGGGACCCGGGGAGTATCATGGGATGTTCTCCTCCATGCCTTAATGATTTCTATCCTTTCCCAGATGAAATTAATCGCAGAATCA